CATTAAAATATGTCAAGTTTTGATTGTTTATAACATGTTCAAAGATTATGATTCCAAAATGTTAGGTGTTTCCATTATTTTGTCCAACCCCTGTATATCATAGTGAAAAGTATCAAACATACTGTTGGTGTGAACGTGCTTTGTATTCACTATGAAGAAAACCTATACACCGATATATTCGTAATGTGTTTTTCAAATTGAGTTGTAACTTGAAAAAATAAAACAATAATTCGCCCACACCATATTACCAAAGATATAAGGGCAGCACAATTTGAGAAAGATTATCACCAATTTATAAACCAAGAAATACAAAATTATCCCCAAATAATTAATTATTTGAGAGATACGATGATAACAATTAAGTAACTTTACACTCCCTAACTTAGCTTCCTCATATGTAAGTAGAGGGACCAACAACCAATCGGAAATCTGATAGAAATTTTACAAACTCTTACTGTTTTCTTCTCTATCGTAAAGAGGTCAGGACGATTTTTAAATATGCTGTGATTGTTGAAAAACACACAAGTACTTAATTACTATGGTAATACTTTATATACAAAATTATAAAGCGTTGCTATTAGAAGACAGGCTCCGTTTTCATGTAACAGAAAGACGAGTGTTCCACAACTTGACCAAGTTCTTTGTTAAGAAACTACTGAAATAAACCTAGACAATAACAAAATGGATAAATAAACAATTTTTGGACTACTGTAATCGAATAGTAGGATTTGGTCTCACTTTTATATTAGGCCCACGTCTCCATATTACAGAACGCATTTTTGCGGCAACAGTCGCGAACCATACATTTTCAGATTTACAGTCGAAGCACCTAGTTACTAAGCATCGCCCAGTCCACGATCCGATAAGAACAAAAAGACAATAAACAGTAATAAATATAACTTGTTCTTTTCTTCTAGCTAATATTTTTTTCCAGCTGAATTTTTTTCTCTATTACTACGTAAAAATCACGATATTTTGTTTGTTTTGGCGCAAAGCCATGCAACAATAATCTGCGCTCTGTCCACCGTGGAGAATTGAAACCCCGATTTTAGCCTTTTAAGTCAATAAACTTACCGCTGACCCACCAGGGGCCCAAACACCAATTAATTAATAAATAACTGCATCAATTCGTCAGCTAGAAACAGTTTCTGTCATATATTTTGGACCCATTAAACTTGGTATCTTTCTCATATGGGTGGATCTTTTATACAATATTGAACCTTATAAATAATTTCTAATATGTTTATATTTTTTTGTCGAAGCCAAAGAAAACCCACAATAGGCTTAGAAATACTTAACACAAATGTCTTTAATTACCTTTCCAATCAAAATAGTTTTAAAATTTTATACTGTACAAATATAGTACATTAGCCACCTCGTGGCTCAGCGGTAAGGTTGCAGACTTATAACACTAAAAACAGATTCTGATACCACTGTGCAGCAACTTATTACAGGAAAACAATTACCAACAGTAATATACTGTATCTAAAGACGCTCACTCGAAACAGTGCTGTCCTCTAGTAATAAAAACACACTTTAAAATAAATGATCGCACATAATATTTATTGTGCGTTTTTATGAAGGGAGCGACGAAGTTAGTCTGATCATCAAAATTCTCCATATAACGTAACCTACATGTTTTTGTTTTTTGCTTTTACTTTTTAAAAGTTTTTTAACACTCACTTATTTCACCATTTATATTTTCTTAATCTAAACTGCCACGTATTTAACACTAACCATGATAATATAAAGATTATTAATCACAATTCCAAACACCTCGAAATTCAAGCACTTTTCAAAATTGCAATTCTTTTATGATTACGAACGAACTGTTAAATATCAAATAACTGTTTTAATTGTTAATCCGACTAATTAAATGTTACCTAATTCTTCAAGCTCTTAATCAATGTTTAATATAGTATAAAATAATACAAAATTATAGTTAGTTTGTCATATTAGAATACAGCAATCATGAAAAATTATTTTGAGTTGAAGCAAGCTCAAGACCAAACTGAAATCAAAATAAAATGCTTCTATTATGGTATGACAGAAATAAAGATCTTGAAACAAAGATATCGGAATATCATAGTAGAATACAAAATGTTGCATTTTTATTTTATTTTTAAAAGAATATTTGATCTTCCCTATCATCAGAAATGATCAGTGTAATTACACCCCTGTCATCTAGAGTGAGTCACCAAGATTATGTTATGGTATATGTAAGCATTATGATTTGCGCGTGCAAACAACTTACGAGATTCACGAGGAGGAAGGTGTGTGTGTGTATATGTGAGAAAGCCCACAATTCTCTCTGACTTTTCCAGATTGATATACTGTTTCTCTTTTCCCTACGTTTTGACCCCGTTTTTAAATTCCCTGACTTGCCCAAGGGTTTCCAGATTCATAACTACCCCAATATCAGAATGTATAAATTTAGGTTTAAGGTATCTGTTAAAATTCCAGTAAATACAAAAAACTTGTCATTAAAAATTCGTGAAACAATATCACAACTTGAGATTGAATATCTGAGAGTACGAGACCAATATTCGGTATATTACATATATATTTTCCCCTAAATGTGTGTGTGTGTGTGTACTACAGACGAGCCTTGCTTTGAAAACTGCATACTGTGCCTAAAATAAATCGTTAGTACTCTTTAGAGCATCAAATGCATATAATGGATTGAAAGATGGGAGAAAGCAAAGACAAACAAGATATGGTGAACGTACCTACCCTTTCTGGGTTATATTGGCACGTAACGACTACCGTCGAAGAAAGAAAAATATCTTATTACGTGCGTAAAAGCTGAAAACTGTCAAGTTTAGAACTCGGAATACTTTAGAAGTTTCATCTGGACTTTATGACGGATGCTTTGTCTTAGCGCAAAGCTACACATTAGTCTATGTCATTTAGCTTTACCCCCTGCATGGCACATACATACAGGTGATGGTCTTACCAAGCAGCTTTTCTCTTTCCATTACAACGTATTATGAAAATATGCCAATGTCAAGAGATACACACTTACAATGTTAAGACTTGAGTCAATTTCGATTTACGAGTTTGAATTCACTTCAAAGTCAAGTGTTTCCCATTAGCAACTCTATAAAATTCTAATTTCAATATAACATAATTGGAAATATAATTTTCACAACAGTATCTTAAAGTTACAGTCTATATTGGCCTTAACAAACGATAACAAATGCAGTTAAGATCAGTTAGTTACTTGCTGGAAATCCAGGCATTTTTCCGTCTCAGATTTACTTAGCCCGCCCGAGTATTATGCCTCATGTAGCCGTTCACCACTACCAAGTAATTCATTCCGGTCATCCTGTTTTCTACTATGCATGCCGGTATTCTCGTCTGTACATTATGCTTGAACAGTGTCACACGACGATAATGTTTTGTATGGCTAAATGCCTTTAAATACCTCACACTCCAACTGATAACTAAAGTCCATTCACTCCCTGTTACACACATACAAGACACTTTCAAGATATACTGTCATCATATTTTTAAGAAGCTCCTCTTAAAAACAAACAGAATGACAATTTTATGGCATACGTTTTTTGTTTTTGTTTTCTAAATTTCACGCAAAGCTACCCGAGGGCTATCTGTGCTATCCGCCCCTATGTTAGAAGCGATAGGCTAAAGGAAAGGCAGCTAATCAACACCAACTCTTGGGCTACACTTTAATCAAAGAAAGGTGTGATTGACCGTCATATTATAACGCTCCCATGGCTGAAGAGTGAGCTTCTTCAGTAACGGGATTCGAACTCGCGATTCTCAGATTATGAGTCAAGCGCCCTAACCACTAGGTTATACAAGGCCCGTACGTTGCTAATATTAAAACAAGTTAAGAATAACACAAAACAAACTTCAATAAGAGTGATATAAAAATTTTAATCTTACCACCTGTTCGGTGAAAGCTCTTAAATGGAAAATGGATCCTTTGATATGTTGGTCTTCAAATCAAATGTGCTAACGTTTATCATACACGTTATACATCTCGAAGAGACATCAGATCTGTGAACGTAAGAAAGTCGATTATTAAAGTTGTAACACTGAAAATTACATAATTGACACAATAGAATTTGTGCAAGACTTAAATACCCAAATCGCCCCCCCCCCCAAGGTTCTTTCAAAACGTCTAAAAACAGAAATAAAGTTTTTCGGATTCTGTAACAAAACGAGCATAACACGTTTTGCCTGTGAAATATGTATTCAAAGACCAAAACCAATGTATTACAAAAAGTAAAATTTTGGTTCGTTGTTGTTTCGTTCCAACTATAGCGCGTTTGTGGCAATTGCCTAACTCCCATAACAAAAGTTCTGAACTGTATTTCTAAATACCTTTACAAGAGATTTAAAAAATGAAGTATTGATAAAAATTCACAAGAACTCAGTTAGAAATCGTGTCCTTGCCTCGTGATTTCCAACAGGAAGGAATATCCGGGTTTTACACTTCAGTGTGAAATATTATTACAGGTGACTAAAAACAAAGTTACAGGCTGTCACGCAAATGGTTGTACTGTAATTAAGTAGCTGAAAAAATCTTAGATTTTGAGTCAATTGAACGAACGAATCGATAAATATTTTTAATATATTGTCATGAAGATGTAAATTATTACCACTTCTATTTCAATACTCCGTTTTATTTTTCGTCTTAAAAGCATTCGAAATAATTGGTTTAACTAACCAAACTCGGGCACTTTATATATTAATATTAGACAGAAGATCAAAATTTTATTTATTAGTTGAAATTATTTGTAAAAGAACCATTCATTAAACATTATTTGCGTTTATTGCTCAATTATTCAGACATATATAATTTTATTTTAACTTCAAATTTTTAAGTATTCTACGTCTGAAATGTTTAGAGCTTATTAATCACAAATAACATATTTTAAAGTAATTAATGAGCCATTCATATCCAATATTACACAAAGTTTAATGCATCATCTATGGGAACTTCCAATTTCTGACTTTTAGTAAGATAACGATGTTGAAAATAACACAGCTAGTTAATTAATTAAGTAGTTTCTACAACAGACAATTACAGATTTACATTGTGCAAGACTATTACTTTCTCGACTACAATCAGTAACCTTTGCACACGCACTAAGTGAAACTACGACAGTAATTTTAAATCGACAATATTATCCAAAACCATCTTTATAAACACAAGCTTCTGGAGAACCTAATAAAATGAGTCTGTTCACTTTACCTATAAAATATTTTCTCTCCTTTTCGCCATTTTTTAAGAATGATTACCAATTTCTAGTATAGTATTTGTGATTTAATAAGGGTGGGGGTCATACGTTCTCCTGAAGTTAACACTGCAATAATACGTTGCTTAACTTTAAAGCACACACACTAAAGGCGTACAACTGGTATTTTACCTTCAAAATCTCTTCACCTTATTTTTCTGGGGAAGAGGATGGGAGGGGGAAGACTTTCCACAATTGTCGTTCCCGCCAATTTTTCAGTCCTAACGTATTATCCGCGGTGTAGTGAAACCTTGCAATGTAAAATGTCTAACAAGCTGCTTTAACTCATTACTATCGAGTTATTTATTTATTTCTTTGGTAACAGTAAACTTTGTGTAATCTTCTCAGTTCTCAAGAAGAGCAAGTTCAGTATGGTTGGTTTTGGATATTAGTTCAACTGTAAAACTTTATAATCATTCAGTATTATATTTACTAACGGATTTAATACGCCAATGCTGTCCTTTATGTGTTTAGTTTTTTCTAAAAGTTCTTCCGTTTACAACCAGTTTTCTCATACAATATAAAACGAAATTATTGTAATTTAAACTGACATATTAAACGATTTCACTTACCTCCTTCTTGAGCTCATCAATTCAGCAAACCTTAGAAATTAATTTAATGATTATTTCTTATATGTATATGACATATATAGATTAGCAAAAATCTGTGGAATTACCGAACCTTTTTTATTTTTCTGTTATACTCCCACCATTCTTCCATTCATCTGGTCCCTGCAGTATGCTTAAATGTTATGACTCAGAAATAAATAAATCACTTGGTTTGCTGAGAATTTCACGGACAATTTTTGGATGAAAATATATTATCAAAACATCTTTTTCATATTATTATATGAATACTATATATAAAAAAAAAGTGGCAAGTCAAATTATTACTATGCAGTTCACTTTTCTTCTAAAAAATAATATTCTTTGTGCGACACTTTCTGCTATACCTTGTATTTTTTTACTGTATTTTTCACTCATATGACTTAACTCTTTTTAGGTCTCTAATGTTAACATCACCTTACTTTCGGTTTGAAACTTTATACTGTTTGAATGCAATATTCCAGTTTAAGTATTTCTCTTTAAAGCGCAAAGCCATCTGGGTTGGGTATGAATCAAACCTCAAAGCTCTCTAGCTTACCACTGACTCCTGAATGGGGCATTAAATTTTTCTAAGACGTAAAGTATATACTAGCTTATGAAACGTTTATGATATGTAGAAAAAAATATATAAAAATCTTAAACCCTCTTTGTATCATTATATAATACTTGATGTAAGCTAGTATACAAAAGTAGACAGCAATTTGAAATACTATAGGCACTGCAACCACAGCACAAAGATTTTCAATAATGACGTTTTTTGGGGGGTCTAAAAGTATCCAAAGTATGAGCTTCAAGCACTCACCTAACACAATCATAAGAAACGAAATAAATTTAAAGTTATTTTTCATTTCTATGTTGGACAGTGGTGTGACTATACTGCTGTTGCACATTCGTTCACTTCTGAGGAGGTCTTGAGATGTGTTCTGTAACATCATTCCAGAAACTTTTAAAACTCTACGGATTATTTTAACTTAAGAGATCAAAATGAATATTTTAGAACTCCCCAAAACGTTAGTAAAATTCAAGATGGTGGAATTTTAGTGTCTTGCAACTAGTTTTTAATTTCAAACAAAATGAATACGATTCGTTTTGGGGGACAAACATGTTTTCACGAAGGCCTTAATAAGGGTTTATGCTTGTTTGTTTGTCGTTATGCACAAAGCTACACAATGGGCTATCTGTGCTCTGCCCACCACGGGTATCAAAACCCGGTTTCTAGCGTTGTAAGTCCGCATACATATCGCTGTGCCACTGGGGGGCAAGAGTTTATGTATCTGTAACAGAAGAAAAAACCAAATATCTTAAGAAGTTACTGGGAATAAAGGGGGGCAATAAAAATATTTAATTCTTGTCTCCTAGTTTCTAAAACATATATTCTGTCAAAAACAAACATTCATCAACTGCTAACCTTTATGTATATTATAGAATTCTGAGTATTTTCATAATTTGAGAGTATTCTGTGACATGAATAACTTGTACTCTCTTTTTCTAATCATACGGCGTGTCCTATTACGTATTAGAATAAATTCAATAACCAAAACATATCGCAATCTAATCTTTAGTTAAATTTAAAATCACGAGTTATGAGTAAAAACATAACTGGAATTATGTTTTTGAACAAGAATTATCAGCATATTTTTTACCTACTTTTGTTTGTTTCTTTTAAAGCAAAGCCACAATGGGCTACCTTCTTTGTCCGCTGCAGGGAATCGAACCCAAATTTTAGCGTTTATGTCCATAAACTTACCGCTGTCCCATCAAGGGACTATTTTTACCTACAGAAATCAACAGCACATCTTTTGTGAGCTATTTTTCTCAATCATGTAAAATATACATTTTAACAATATATCTTACATGTACTTTTAAAACCATATTTTATTACAAATAGTCAGAGTACACTTTTGAGGGGCAACTGTTATGTAGTTTTTATCTGGACTGTTCAAACATTTCAAATAATTATAGTTTTTTTTTCTAATATAATCTCTTGCATACATATTTCATACAATAAATATTTTGTGATAAAAGTAATGTTATTCAAAAAAGCTGTAGTTATAGGCACTCCTATATAACTAACACTATCAACGTAATCATGAAGATGATGAACCTTTAATATTATCTCCCTCTTTCAATTCGTGTTATTAATGGGCATTGCAAAATTGTCAACTGTTTTGTCTTAATCTCTATTTAATTGCTAGATATAAACAACAGCTTAGTTCTTAAAATATTTATGATGGTGTACAGTAAACGTAAAATGGGAAGTAGAAAAACGGATAGTCTGCTGCTTTTACAATATATTCAGATGTAATATTGTGCAGTGTTCAAAGTATTTATCCAATGATAATAGTTCAAAATTTTCAGTCTTTACGGAATCAACTCTCTTTTTTTCTTCACATTATTACTCACAACTGCAAACATTTTACCTTGTTTCCCAAGTACGAAGTAAATTTTAACTTATTTCTTTCACTTGTCAACTGCTTTAAAGATGTGTAACTGAAATAAGCAATATCATTTCTGGTGATTAATATTTTCCACTAATCAGTTCATTATTTCTTTAACATTATTCAAGAACACAGTTGCACTATTAATTATGTATGATAAAATAATATTGGATGAAATAAGAAATTCAAAGTAGCTTTAGAAAACCCAACAATTGAGAATATATTAATTTTTTTATAAAGCATTGTAATCTTACAGATAATAGAGTTGCTGTGGAACTTCTGATTTCCCCATGGATATCTGTTTACGTTTGTTCAACAAATCAAAAACAATTTTCTATTAACCAAATTACAGATATTATTAAAAAACAACTGTGACAGGTATGATGCCCACAAATTTTTTTGCCCAACAAAATTTAACCTATTTTTTTATATTAAACATTATTGTTCAAACAGTTACAAGTATTTTTATGAAATATGATAATAAGTATTCTGGTAAAATGTCTAAGAAACTACTGTAATCAATAGCTTCAAAATTTAAAACAAAATTAAAACTTTTTTATTTTGTATCAGATTAATTAACAACAAAACATTTGTTTTCCCCTCAAATAGCACAAAGAATTTTATGATTTGCTCTAATCATTTTTATTTTCCAATTAGTTTTTATTTGAATTTGATTCAACATATTCTTAAAACTTCTACTGGAATCAAATGAATAACACAAGTGTTGCTGCTTTTTTTTATCATTTTTCAAAACCTGAATTTATAAAATTTTCTAAGTTAAATTTTAAAGAAATTATTAAGTTGAATGAATGCTTTTGTAAACAATAAAATACTATATTCCATTTTGCATTAAAATCAGTTTTATTTTAAAAAGAACACTTTTACTCATATATAATAATGATCAATGCAATCAGACATTGTGAAACTAATTAGAGCCACTCACATTTTTGATTTTACCATAGTTTGCTTGTATATAAATCATGACAGAACATCAAGTGTAATTAACACACAATCAGAATTAATAGATATTGTATGAACTTCTATGGATCAATATTTTAATAAAACCTCCCTTTCAGACATTTCAAAGGCAGACTATAAAGATTATACATCTAAAATACATTAAAACAGCAAAACTGATTTGTTAACTAATGTATCTTAGTTTATTTATAAATCTCCTTGTTTAATGTACTTGTGCATGTTTTCCCCCTTCCATGACCTCAGCAATGCTTAAAAAAGTCTTCATTATCATATAACTAAATTCTATAAATTATTAATTTAAATTTGTTTCATGTAAATTTAAAAGGAAACATTCTGAACTAGATAGTTGGAAGTTATACCTTAATTATTATTAACGATAATGTGATCTTTACCTCAACAAACTTGGTCACTGTACATTAAATTTTACGTATTGTACATACCACAGACGAATATCTTAACTCCATTTTTTTCTTCTATACATACAAACTTTTACAGTTCACATTTAATTTTTTCATCATAAACCAAGTGAATTTACATCTCGTACAAATAACCCTATTCCTAATACTGATGATTAATTCTTCTTCTACTGTGACCATTATTTTAAATAGTCTATCTAATCTCTCCAATTAACAACCCACCTTTCTTTCAATCCATAATAAACCTGTTCAACAGCACACCTATTGGTAATTCATGACTAATATTAATGATGTCTGCATGTAAAACGTTATTCACTCCTTGAAATTTCCCTTTATAGTCTATGATTCATTGCATTACTAATTAAACTGTGAAACTAATTTTAAGTAATGCAGCCATGAACTGCTACCCCTTTTGTTCTTTTCTGGATTATAACTGTGAAGTTCTTTTTTTTAAAAAAAAACTCTTCTAAGTCTTAACTAATTTATATCAACACACTTCAGTGCTAACTACATTAACCCTAAAGTATTTTATGATAATAAAAAAACCAAAAACATGGTCACAACATGTAACAATCTTTTTATTTGTATTTTTATTGAATTTCAAAGTACTTATTGTATTTTTCCTTGTATGCTGGTAATATTTTCTGTTTTTTTTCACTCACATTCCACAAAGGTATTTAATAATGTTCAAGTTTTTTCTCTTTCATCTTTGAGATAAGTTTTACCTTAGACATGGTATACCATATGTTTTTCATTTGATTACACATTTTCCTTTTTTTATATCCTAGAAATTGGTCTAGACAAGATGTAAGACGTATTCTACGCACTGACAGCTGATCAAACACACTGCCTTGTTAATTTTTTTGTATACTGGATATTTATATAAGACCTTCTAAAAGCAGTATTTGAAATAAAAGTACCACATTTTTATATCTATGATGAATGTGTTTAAAGCATTCACGAAGAAGTGAGAAGTCCATTGGGTGCCTGTGATAAATCCTAGTTAAGCACCTTAATAACTGGAAAATCTCGATATAGATGTCTATAATGGATAATGAGTTAGACATCATAATAAATTAAAAGATTACTTCTGTTTAACATAAAACTGATTATTAGGAATCAAGCATTATAAAAGTTAACAAAAAAAACAATTAACTGCTGTTTCAGTGTCTGTTATGAGTCTGAGCTAAGCATTTTGATATAAGTGGAAAATTCTTAGCTAAATACTTCTGATGAAGTATTTAGCTTGAAATTGCAAGTCCCATTTGTGATAGCAAAAAGATCCTATAGAAATTTAACCTAACCAGAAGCCTAAACTAGTTGAATCATTGTATACTGTTTGATTTCAAGTTTATAATCATATAAAATAAACCTTATCAACTTCATTAAAATCTTATATACTGAACCAATAATTTAACCTCTTGTGCATTATGTTTACATGTATGTAATTATTACTTCAGTTCAAGATTTTTAAAAAAAGTTGGCACTAACACAAAAATCTGAGTCTTTTACAATCAACATTTTTTTCTGTAACTAAAATATTTTTTTCACAAATGTATTTTATGTCCACAAAAAAGTATTGCTTTAATTCTATTCTTGCTTTTAAGATAATGCATTCTATCTTTACAGCAAAAAATTTTATTACTTTTATTCTGTTTCTGTCTCTTGGTTTCACATCCATGTAAATATTACTTCAGTTCAAGATTTTTAAAAAAAAGTTGATACTTACATAAAATCTGAATCTTTTTACTGTTAACATTTTTCTAATTTTTCTTCTGTAACAACATTTTTTTCACAAACGTATTTTATGTTCATAAACAAGGTATTGCCTTAATTTTATTCTTGCTTTTAAGATAATGCATTCTATCTCTACAGCAAAAAAATGTTATTACTTTTCTGTCTCTTGGTTTCACATCTTAAACATAGAACCTTCTGAGCATGCATCGTTAAGCAAGTATTTCTGCACCGATTTCAAACTACTGTTTGGAACTGAAGTTAACAAGAACAATTAAGTTACTAATTACTTTTATAATTTTAACTCCCATAGTGAGGTTTAAAGTTTGTATAAAAATTTTGTTTAATAATCGAGGGAAAAATCACTATGAACTTTTAGTGTAGTTTCTCAGGATTACGGCATTTTTGTTAACCTAAAAAAATTAATTGCATTATTTAATATTACAAACTTTCCAGTGACAGATAATACAAATTTTATTTTCATTAAGTGTTTAAATAAATTGTTTTCTAGTTTGTAGGATTTTTAGAAATTCTGCATTACAGAAAAAAAAAAAGTAAAATGTTCATAAGAATTTTTTATCTGTATTTGTAAAACACTGTTAGATCATAATAAAAAATACAGTGGTTCTTTTAAGAAACACATGATTCCAAATTTCTCATTCACACTACCCATGAAATCATATACTTGATTAACAATTAATTTTTAAAACTTCAGAACTTTCTCTTTTTGCCTTTGTTAGCTTTTTAAAGTTAAGATATTAAAGATTAATATTTACAATTAAAACAATATTTGTACAATACTGTGCTTTAAAACAGGCTACAAGCATGTTAATTTTCTAAAAAAATTAACAATAAAGCCAAATTTTGTTTTAATTTTGTAAATATAATTTTAATTTCCATTGCAGAAAATTATACTTTCTTGTACAAATTTAACTTTTTATAGAAATTAAAGGGAATAAACACTGAATTTATTACTTCAGTATCTTACAGGCTCAAATTCCATGCAAAATATTTAGGGAAAAAAGTGCAATTCTCCCAATTTTTAATGCATCATTTTCCCCAGAAAAAAAAAAATTACCCGATTACATACTCTGTTATTAGTCACAATTATGAGTAAACACTGGCTTAGTTTTGAACGTTCCTGTTACCTGTCTTATGACCAGGGGTGTTAAAAAAAAAGACATATTTCATTTATTATTACGTCAGGCTTGAGAAAAAAATAATTATATACTAGAAATTTGGAAAGAGAATAAAAGAGAGTCAATAGTTAAGCTATGACACACAAAGCTGAATGTTTTAGCACATAATTGAGTAGGTTTAAATATTTCATTTATACAGCAGCATTCCATTTTAATTAGAATATTATGCAAATAATTTGTTTAGTTTATGTACGATAGTTTTTTAATATGCTTTATGCCATTTACTTCCTTTTACATTTTGATCCTATGCATTTTGTCACACACTGGGAAAATGTACTTTTCATTTCAGATTCATTTGAATTCAAATTATCTCAATCATTATCCTTTGTATATCAGTTAAAATAATTCAAACACAATGAAAATCTTCATCAGTTGCTGTAAAAACATTTTAATTACGAATTACCAATGCCTGTGTGCATTTACTTCAGTCATTGAAAATACAAGTTTTGACAAAAACAAACTTTACAATGTAGAACTGATTCCAAAAACATCATGCATCATTTCAGTTGCACAATTACATTAATCAAAACTGAAATGTTTTATGTAATGAATACAAATGTTTTTCGTACTACTTATATTTTGCTTCGTATTAAAAGAACATATTGAGTCAAAAAACAAACTCCCAACTTGCCTTTAAGCTGTTAAAAAAGGCTGAATGTGAACATGTTAGGTTACTGTTTTCTTATCTATTTAAAAATTCATAATTAACAATACACTTGAGACATCATTTTTAAAAGCAGCTACTTCAAAAAAATTCTTTTTGTCACTTAGATAAAAATTATTCTAAAGCTACTAAAATATTGCTCAAAATGTCAAGTTACACAAGAAAGAAACAATATGTAGAAATATGAACACAACACAATGCTACGATACGACTGTCGCCAGCTCAATAATTAAAAGATGGGTGCCCATAACCTGGTGCTACTTTAGTAACTATATCTTGGAGCGTAAGAAGAGTTGGTACTAGTAAGTGTTGTAGTCGTACTGCTGATAACTACTGGCCTTGGACACACCTGGAACGGCAGTAGAACACATTTTAACATAAAAAAAGCCCTACTTCTTCACAGTGCTCAAAAATTTATAACCCTTAGATTAAAAAAAGAAGAAAATGGGCATAAAAATTTAATCAACATAGATTACAATCCAAGTCTGGAATATTTGTCATGAAAAATCACACGTACTTTAGCCTTGAGACAATACCGTGCATTTTCTTTCTGAAATGTGAACTGTGTTGTTATACTAACTAATCACTTTAGCAAATAGTTCTTCATTAATGAGCAATGTTTCAAATACTTCATGCAAATTGATCCATCAAATTTGTCTCCTAGTAAAGTCAGTCTTCCATCAGTGATTAGAAACACACATTTACACAGTAATAGTTTATTTTTACGTACTGAGGAGACAGAAGCAATAGAACTAGTAGGCTCACAAATTTAGTTTCTGTTTTCATAGCAGTAAATGGGAACTGATCTTTTACCAAAATTGGTTAGTGTAACTATCAGTCCACTTCAATATTCTTCACCTTGTAAAAACCATCTTAACATTGACTTATAAACAGTTAAAAAATACTGAGAATTTCTTATATATATATTTCTTTTTAATGGGTAATTAGTTCTGGGTCTTTCTGAGATACTTTACTTGTTATCTAACAAACAATACAAATATGTCTTTAGCAAGCCAATTACCAGATTGTATCATTACAAGTCACATGACTAAAATGTATTTCAATTCTTGTAACATACATACTAAAAGTAAAGATTAGTTCTGAATATCAAACCAAGTCATGGAAAAATTTGCATGTAACATTAAAAATGCAATGTTTTAATATTAAGGTTTACGGAAATACAGGTTTATTTATTACACAATTTAATAAACATTTCAATCACCGCTCAACGACATCTGTGATTGTATAATCAATTCCATCAGCATACTATACTATGTTCAGTTTTCAACTTTTAATTCAATAAAACTGAAAAGACAAGTGCACTTGCAAATTTAAAAACATATTTTATAAAAATATATAATAATTTTATTTTTTGTATCTTAAAGTTACTTTCTGCTAGGAAGATTATATTATGAATCCATTAAAGAGCTTTAACAATTCAGAATCTTAACATTTATGCAGTTTCTTAATATATAGTGATATAAACCGTACTAAAAAAAATTCAAAGATGATGCACTCTTTCTTTTCACAATTTCTCCTTACTCTGTTTGATTTATTTTCCTGTACAGGTGTTAATATTATTAATGCTTACAAAAGATAATTAAGCATCATACTCTTCAGTTATTTCGTCTACTGTACATCATTAAAAATTACTACTCTTATTGATAAAGCAGAGAAAAAAAATGCATATATTGTGACTTTCTACTGATTTTTCTTTCTTTCAAAAACCCATAAAATTTTAATGGTTAACTTTTTATGTTAGCAATTACAGAGCTACTTTCACACGTAGTGTGATACATTAAGAATGTCTTTAACTTCTAAGTGTGATAATCATTACTGAGAATTGGTGTTATTATTAACACACGTACTAGGCTTATCACAAACTGCAAAACCGACAAGATAGGGGTGATTTTAATCTTACTGATGAACTGTCTTGTTCAAAGTATAGATAAACTCCAAAATGTGCTACAAGATATAATAAGGTAATGTCATGAATGCCCTCTTTTCATCCTAACATCATGAATAAACCATCATTTACTCTCAACCACTGTTCCTTTGACCTATAAAACTCGCAACATGATCACAATCTAATGGCGTAATAAACAACTAACTTGTAGTCTGTACTCTGCTACACATAGTAGGTCACACAATATTTAGTCCCACAGTAACCTATGATCCCATTTCTCCAATTGCTGTCTTTCCTAGTGGTTCAGGAAATATAAATGTTAGTTACCTTTGTTACATTAAGAACAGCACCCTCTACATTCATAACCTTTAATGGGTAAAACAAGTTGATACTGTTAATAACCTTCTTCTCTTCCCCACATATTGAAATTGCCAAAAAAACTCTTGTGTAACAGACACAACTAACTCTCACAATATCATCTCCGAATATGCTACAGGATGGACAGAATGACCGCTTGCTTAAACAAGGTTAATCTTGTATATCTTACAAAAAATCTTACCTGAATTGTTCCAGTAATGATCTTCTGCACCTGGCATGCCTACAGGAAGAACAAATATATAACCTTTCAATATTTACTGCATATCATAAACAAATCAGCATCCAAATCAGGTTATAATGGGGTATCCCCAAAAGCTACATCCTTATGCTATACTTTCCATGAAGCACAAGGTAATTAGAGATATCTTAGTGTAGCCAAAAAACTGGTGTGGATATACCACCGATAAGATAATTGTGTGACCTCAATTATTTCAACAAACTCACTCAAGTTTATTACTTCAAAAGCATACATATTATCTGAACAACTATACACAAATGACAAAACATCTAGAACAATATTTTTTCTACAGCTTTATAATATTGCTCACATGGTATCAACTTTTTTTTCTTTTAAACTGAAGACAATCATTTGCTAATGGTCTTTCAACTCAAAGTAACAAATTAAACTTTTCCACCACATGCTGTATGACAAGACAAATGTAGCTTTATTCTCCTAAAGAAGGATAGTCAACTATTCAAAAGTGCTCAAGTTTTAAGTCTTGTTTGGAAACACTACAACTTTTGTAGGTGACCCTTTATGCTAATTTCTTAACCAGAAGCAATGTAGCTTAGTTACATATGCTTAAAATATATTTAATAAAATTATTCTTAAAATCGTGAATTTTATAAAGTAACAAAATTCTCATCAAAGACAAGTAAATGGTTCATATATTTGTGCCCCAGCTATTTGGGCCACCATTTAGTAAAAGAGAATGTATTTTAAGTCACTGGTGTGAAATGCACAAAAGGCTGTACATTACAAATTATGAAATATGTGTGTGTATAAATATAATATCAAAATCTAGAATGAGCATTGTGGTAAACGAGACCATTTACACTTCATTTATTGAGGAGATGGAAACAGATAATAATTCTGGTATATGAGAGACAATCCAAGCTTAATTTCTAAGAAAATAACAATAATTAAAACAGCCATTTAACAACATAAAAAACACGAATTAACAAAAAATAAAACTTTAAAAATGTACTTCATGGCAAAAAGATTGAACACAATGTTTTAAAACCCAACTAATTATATAGGTATGTACGTATGCATTTTGCTGTTGTTGCTGGGTACATTTTGTTCAGTTAAATAAGATTAATAACAAAGATAAAAGAAAAACATTTACTTAACTATACAAGTTAATACATTAAAGTTTAACAATATTTCATAAGCTAGACTAGTTTAAAAACTAATTTTAACCAAAATAACAATCATACAAAATGCAAAACAAAGTAATTCTTTACTTCTTATAGCTTTAGTAACAAAATTCATTACATGTGCACTTGTATAAAAATCTATAAAACATTCTTCATGAACATATACATTATGTAACTTCTAAGCATTTTATCATTACATAACATTTAGTGAGAGAAAAAACAAAAAAACTTTTAAAATACCCCCCACCCCCCAAATAATACTACAGACTACTCATTATTAATGTTTATCAGTGAGTTTGTACAGTTGGTAAAATATACCACAACATATTCCATAGGGATATTGCTACAAATGTTTCCTTACTTCTTCGCAGCATATGCATTAATAATTAATAAAATTCCCCCATTTGAAAATGTCATCATATGTGTTTGCTAAACAGTAGATTCAAAAACAATCTCTAAAACATAACTTCAAATAATTTTTGACGTAATTCTCGGTTGAACGACCAACTAAGTAATGATAAAATTCTGTAATCTTTAACACTGCCAACAAGAGCTGAAGAAATATCATAAACATTACAAATCAATTTTTTTTATTTACACACAAATTTCTCAGTGTGCAGTCCAGGAAGAATGAAACAATTGTTCATTAGCAGTATAAGTAAACAGTAATATAACCAACATAACTAGGTAGTGCTCGAAAAAAATGACTATTTGAAGAAACTTTAAAGACTTCTTTACAAACCATGTTCAAACATGGATTGATGGAACTGTATTCATATCTCTAATATGGAGAGCTTTATATAAAATTAAATTTTTATTATTAGTTGCAAGTTCTCTAACATTGCACAAATTGCTGCTTTACAATAATTTAACTCAAGCAATGATTTTCTGAATTTGTAATTAACACAGTAGCCATATTAAATAATCCAAAGTGGTGGGGGTATTTTGAACAAGGATGACATCTTATAAGACATTTAAGTTAAATTGCTACATCAATTAAAATTACTGATGCTTGATATAATAATAAGATATTATTTTTACTACTTTCAAATTAAACTGTATTTACCTGTATTGTATCCATAACCTGTACTCTGTGAATAAGCTGGAGGTACAGGTTTTGCATAAGGGTCAGAAGAAACTGGTCTGGCATATGGATCAGGTGGTATTGGTCCTCCATAAGGATCTGGTGGTGCTGGTCTAGCATACGGATCAGCAGGTGGTGCTGGTCTGGCATATGGATCAGCAGGTGGTGCTGGCCTAGCTGCAGGATCAGCTGGCGGAGGTCTGCCATATGGATCAGCAGGTCCTGGTCGAGCATAGGGATCCTCAGTAGGAGCTGGCCTCCCATATGAATGAGGTGCAGACCGAGTATAAGAGCCTTGGGGAGGAGCTGGTCGACCATAGGGGTCAGTTGGAGGCTGTGATCTGCCATACGAATCTGACCTTGTATAGGATTCTGATTGAGGTGCTCGATAACCATATGGATCTGAAGAGAGAGTACGTCGTTGATAGGGATCATCCGGTTTACTATAGGGAGCAGTACCCTGCTGAGGTTGGTCATATGAATCTCGATAGCCATCTGGATTACTGTATGATGATCCATATCCAGAAGGATTCTGAAAGTCGCCTCCTTCCATACCATAATCATTAGACGGGTATTCTGAGCTACAAAGGAATAAACCATCAAGACCAAAAATTAGAAAACAAAAACAAGACTTCATGACTAAATCAATAATACAGCTAGTAGCTCCTCTTTGTTTTTCAGTCTTATTTACTGAATATGTACACATATGTTTGTCTGTTCTCAAAATATTTTGTTGAACCAAAACATAGAAAACTAATATGCATATACTTGAACTTTCTATTCCTGAAAATTTCAAAGATGTCACCATTTACTTCTATTCCATTTTAGGCAAACTTAATACAAGTGTGTCATTAATTCTTCTTGAAGTTTTCAAATGTCAAATTCAACAATACTTCCAGTCAGAACATCCAGACCCCAAGTGCCTGAAACCGAGCAACTAACAGTAGTTATGTATGAAGTAACATACAAATTAAAAATAATGTGGTAATATGTAATAAAATGTAGTTTATTTAGACTCACAAATTGAGATTTCTGTTAAAAAACGATTATGGATACACAGAGATTGGTTAGGAAGATGATGGTATAAAAGTCATGAATCCTGACACTTTTGTAGGGTGAAGGTACACATGCTAACCACATTATATTCCCAGTTTTAGAAATTTAGGTTGTTGATATCCTCTATTACCAGCAACTATTATAGCATAGTTATAGTTTTAATTTGATTTTATGTTTAAGTAAAAATCTATCAATATTTCTTCTTGGAAATACAGTCCCTTAAAAGAGGGATGAAATCACAAAGCAATCTAATAAATGGTTCAAAAGTTTACAACTCATGCACAAATTTAAATAAAACAATCTTGAGCATCACATTAGCTACTACTAGTTTAATGTGAAAAATAGTTGTTGTTTTTTCAAGGAACATAAAAAAAAACTGTGCACTACAGAACTGAAAAGTATTTTATTCATATGACAGCCAGGTATTAGACACCATCATATGTCAGAATCAAGTGAGTCAACAGAGTTGGAGCTCTAATACCAATAACAAAAATAGACATTAAATGCCTAAACAATCAAGAGAATTGGACGAATAGTTCCAACATGAAAGAAATTGACATCTTTGTTTGATCAACAGTGACTGACTACCATACCACTGACAACAGTGTTAATCGCACATTGTACAAACTGATTACTGTATGAAAATAACAATGAGCAATTTGAATCATTTTTAAAGTTTTAAAAGAAATAGTGCAGAAATAAAAATCACATCCACTTTTAAGAACTGACATCCAAAAAAAATGTTTAATGAAAAAAAAACAACAACAACAAATTCTACTAATAATTATACTAACAGTTTATTCTAAATCTTGTTCAAAATGCTGATTTACCTGGCCTCTCACTTATATTTTACAAACAAAAGTATCTGTCACCAGTGACAGGAAAAGTTTAGCTGTGTTCCACTCTTGGTTCCATGCAGAGCCAAAGCTATGAGCTACTTATACTGCTCACTTGAAAAATAACTGTTGAGCATTTCAGTCATGCTCTGGCCCACTCAACAATAACACACTGTACATTTTTATTCCTTAAGTTACATCACATTTTGAAATGTGAATAATAGTGTGATTAATTCCTAAGAATACAATACAATATCTAAATTGTTGAATAACCTGTACATTGTAAAGTTGTTTGATCTATAAATAACAGGGATAGAAATAATGAAATAAAATTACATTCATTCGAAGGAAAACTATCAGGAAGATTACATTCCTCATGAATTGTTTTTTTATATAATCCATGAATATGTTCATTTTCATTGGTCATAACTAAAAGAATATGGATGAACTATGCATTCCCAATCAGGAAAGCCAACTAAAAATGCAGGAATGTAATATTTCGTTCCCTGTTTAACTTTTATGACATCATTCTTAATATAAACCACTACTCCCCCAGACTTGTTAAACTGTTTACAGTTATAAAACAAATGATCTCAATTTACTCCTTTTCTATTCTTTTCCGTATATTTTTACAATTGAAGATTGAAGATGTAATGGTAGCATGCTGGTTTAACTCAGTACCCTACTTGTTATGTTAGATATTCCAAAGAAAACTGTTACCTTGGATGCACCTTACTTAGGCACTATTTCATGCATCATTATGAAGAAAACTATCAAACAGTTATATCTACAAATTCAGTTAAAATGTGTCTTTAAAACGAATTCTAGATTACAAGGGATCTTCAACTTTAAAGACCAGGAACACCCAATGAATACCTCATTAAAGGTAAATGAGTTCATGTGCTCAAGGTGCAACCAGGGACATACTGGATCAACCACTAAAAGCTTTGCACTTGAATAAAAGAACACTGTGATGCTAAAAACCTTCAACATAACATGAACTTTGATCATTGCATTCCTTTAAGAAAAACATAACTAGACAAAGAATGTTGGAAAAATAATGCATCTTTAGGTACACATCTAACACATCCAGTGTAATTGTGCACATACATAATCTGAATGCAATTTTTTTTGCCTCAACAAAGCTTCATATACATTATTAATTTCTCAATTTTTTACAATTATCATAATAATCCATTCCTGATCAGGTCTTTTGCACTCACTCTCTTATACACTCTCTTCAACGTTAAAAGTTGGTAGGTTTGAAAGACCTCATAACGTTATAATGGTTAATAACAGATGCTTCCTAGAAAGAGCATAAATCTGGCATAAAATAATATATCTTAAAAAATTTAAAAGTGCTCATGCCTGATGACTTAAAATAAGCATTTCACTTAACTTCCTAACAAATAAATACTGGGCACACATAAACATCTAATCTTTGACAAATATTTATATGGTATTGATTTCCTCCTTTTCAACATTATTTTTGTTACACGTTATCACAACCTTTTCCCCAAACAGTTATATTGAAAAAAATTTTACTAATCATCACTATCTGTTGTGTATTCTTTACGAGCGCAGGTTTTTATGTTTTGTTAACCTTAAAATTATCAATGGGGTCTACTATATGGACTTTACTGGCATTTTAAACTATTTATACACAAAACTGCTCATGGGTACATGACTCTGTTGGTTAAAGGTTCTCTAATAACATACAAGTCACATGAACGATTAAAATAAAACCACCATCAATACTGCAGTTAATGCTACTGATTACATCTGGAGCTCCTTATCTGTTGATCTGATTTTCTTATTTGTAGTAATTTGTGATAATTACTAAAAACAAGCTTATTTAATAAGATTGTTAAATAACAATATTAGAATTAAAGTTTAAGAGTTTATAGTGGCATGACTAATATAAATGTTTGATTAGACTTAGCAAATGTAATTTAGCTACAAGTTAACTTGTTAGTAAGTTATAAAACAGGCTAAATATATTGTATTACTACAAAAATATTTGCTACTTCTTACCCTAAAGATAAACTTAATTACTTTAGTGAGAAGATAAGGTAGTGATAAAATAGTGCAATTATTTCATACCAATGTTAGGCTTAACAGTGTTGTCAATAGGTTATTGTATTTAGTGTTGATTATCTATTCCCAGGTTACAATTGTTAAGATTAGTGTATGTGTAAGTTCTCAAGGTAGGTAAGGTGGGATAGGTGCAAGTATTATTTGGGAACTCGAGACTGGCATGCACTTCCAACGAAAGCTAGCAGTGAAGACATACAATTTGTTTTTAGAATATGCAAGCTAGAGGAGAAATTTGATGTTATCCTAAACAGAGTAGAGGTGATAGAAAGACAAGAATAGTGTAGGAAATGGCAGTAGAATTTCAATAGGAACTTGAGCTTTTGTATGCAACAGTTATAGTAGCTAATAATGACTTTCACGAGGTTAGAAACAGTACTAATATGACAAGAAACACTGGATTTAATTGTGATGAGAAGGTTCCTTTAAGTAACAGATTTCAGCCTTTAGCTTCTGCAGATGACAAACTAGGGGAGGGAAAGAAAATAAATGGGACAGATATGGTTGGAATGAAAAATATAAGGTTATAGTTACAGATGATTCTTTAGTATAGCACATTAACAAGACATACTATAGGGAAAACAGGAAAAAAGAATTAGGTTATGTTATCCAGGGTCAAGGGAGGATATAACTGACAGAGCAAATGATATAGTAAAGGGCAATAGCAGCAATCCAGTCTTTGTATTGCACATAAGAGCAAATGATGTAGGGAAAGGCAAGTCAGAGGAGCTAATTTACAAGTGCAAGGGACTGATAAAGGCATTTAAAGAAAAGGGCCATAATAATTAAATTCTGTCAGGGATACTGTCAAGACGTAATTCTGGGAATAAAATTATAAATAGGTTAATATGTAAGGATGAACAGGTTGAATTTGTGAGATCAGTTCAATGTAAAAAAGGAAGTTTTTGGAATGGATGGTTTACACTTAAATATGGTAAGGCTAACTTGTTTGTCTATTAACTCATCTGGTAAGGTCAGCTTTAACCTAGGACTAGACAATGGTGAGGGCCAAAATAATGGAGAAAAAAAGATGTAAAGAAAATTATAGTGTAGAAACAGAATACAGAAGTAGTTTTAATGGTAGACTAAACAAAACATTTAATACAAGAAGTATAAGAAATAAAAAGGATGGTTTTAGAGCAATGGTTGGAATGGAGGATTTTGATGTAATTAGAATATCTGAAACCTGGTTAAATGTAGACAATTTTGAGGACAGAAACTTCTTCAAAATATAGGGTTAAAGGTTATTTAGTAGAGATAGAGAACTAAAAAAGGGAGAGTGGTGGCTTTATACATAATCTGCAAGTTATACTCTGTCCAATTTGAGGATATCAAACCTAATAGCAATGAGATTGAATGGTTTTCTTCACCAACTGGTCTGAGAACCTACTAGGAAAAATGTTATTTTAAACTTATTGTTAACTTTTAATACAGAAATGGTTGACAAGTTAAAGATTGTGTAACATCTGGGTGAAAGTGATTATTGCTTAATCAAGTTTGACATTTTGCTGTATATGGAATTAATAAAATTATATTTATCCAAAATTAAAAATAAAAAGAAAATTTTGAAGGGATGAGACAAGAATTATTTGTTGTGAATTGGTCAACTAAATTAACTGGAGATACTGAACAAATTGTGGAAAACTTTTAGAAATAAATTTTCAAATATTCAAAATAGGCATGTTCTTTGAAGGAAAGAAAAGTGGCATTAGAGAATTATACAAGATTAAGAGAATTGGTCAAATGGGAAATTAAGAAATTGAAAACTATATGAAAAAAGGTTAGTTGCAAATGTTAAAAATTAACAGTAAGGATTTCTTTAAATACATTAAGAGTAAGCAAAATGTTATGATGGGAGTAGAGCCTTTGAGGGACGATACAGGAAGGCTCATATTTGATGATTATGACATGGATGGGTTATTAAATTTTACCCTTTTCTTCAATTTTTACAAATGACAATTTAAGCAATCTTCTTCATCATGAACAGTAATTCGATGGAAACAATCAAATAACATGATCATATTAACTCTTAGCTTGTTGAGAAAAAACTGGGATGTTTAAAGAATGATAAATCTCCTGGGCAAGATATTTCCCCAAAGTGTTTGAAGAAGGTTAAGGATTGGATATCTAAGCCATTTGCTTTTTTTTTTTGTAAATCCTTGAAAAGTAGGCAGAAGTCAGAAAAATGAAAACTGGCTTATGTTACTCCTCATTTTCGTGTAATTACATGCTGATTGGTCTTACATCAGAGTGGTGGGAAAAGATTTTGAAAGTCTGATTTAAGATGCTTTGCAAAGTCATATAATAAAGTTTAAAATTTGTTGGAAAGTCAACAAGGTTTTACTAGGTGAAAATCTTGCCTTAGTGGTCTTTTGACATTCATTGAAGAGGTTACTGATTATGTAGATGAGAATACAGGTGTGGATTTGGTGTATCAGGATTATCAGAAAGCATTTAACAAGATGCCAGCCACCCAAAAGGCTGTAGGTGTGAGAAGTTGAGGTTGACTCACTGAATAGGAAAATGGCTGGATGTGAGAAAGCAAAGTGTTTTTATAAACAGAGTTCAGTGAAACTGGATTAATATCAAAAGTGGAATACCTCAGAGCTTATTGTTAGGACCTTTGCTCTTTTCAATTTATAGGCCTATTAATCTTATATCAGTGGTGAGAAAAGTTTTGGAAGTCTGATTAAAGATGCTTTGTAAAGTTATCTATAAAGTTTAAAAATTTGTTGGAACAGGTCCTTCATTTTCCTTGAAAATTATATGTAGTATAGAATATGTTTTACACAGAAAATGATCAATTTTATCCATTGCATTACATTACTCAATGTGATGCAATATATAAAGTCCAATAGTAGTAAATAGTATAAAACAAAAAGTAATTTGAGAGTTAACTATGGATGTATTTGATTCTAAACAGTAATGTACTATTTTATATATATATATATATATATATATATACTACCACAACTAAAGTTAAAAAAAAAAGGAAAAAATTGTGATTCTATATTTATAAAAAAAACTTTAGAACTTTTAAAAAGTCAAATTTTTCTGGAATAGATTACTAAGTTGCTTATAAACATATTAAAGTTACATGTATCTATAAACATTACCAGTCCATTGACTTTTCAGAAATTTCAACATAAAGATACTCCCCATTTATAAAAATGTGGCAGAAATCTAGTTACTGGAATACCAAACTCAACCCTTACCCTGCACTGCAATGAACGGGGATCCTCTTTGAAGGAAGGATTTCTCTTGACTCCAGGTGATCTGGCGGGCCGAAACTATCAATAGAAAACAGCTAATTCAGGAATTATCTTAACCTTAAGCAGAGCCTCTAAACTGACTTAATTCAAATTTTTAAAAATTGTTTTCATGATAATTTCAGCCACAGCCACACACTTCTGGAATGATAAAGACCATGGGACTATTTGCAATCTGTACAACCTACTTTCAATAGCTGCCAATATGTTTATAATTACAATATTTAATTACTGGCAGTAGTTGATTTGTTTTTCAGATGGGTTCGAGCAGTGCAGAGTAACATTGAATTTGTATTTCATTTTTTGTAATACACAATACCTGTCTGATTCTATACTATGTTCTGAACAAGTATTTCTCTCTAGAAATAAATTCAAATTTCACCATATTTCACTAAGTCTTACAATGACCAACCAAACTGGGTTGTTAGAATATTTTGACAGCTGTTGAATGAGCAAAATTTAAACTCAAGGAAATATTTGAAGTAATCCAAACTGCCTACACACAATTTGCGACTTTTTTTAACAAACCTTTCCGAGATATTATAAAAAAAACATACAAGTTGCTTAGTTGTAGCTCCTATGAATACATGTTTAATAAACACATAATAAAAACATTCACATTTTTCTGAGAATTATTCTGAAAAATTAAAATACACTTCAAAAATCAAGTATAACTTATGATAATTTTAACTTGAAACTATTTGTGTAACTTATGCTATTTTTCTAAGAAATTATAATTACTACTATCACAATCTCAAATATTCCTAGGATTGACCTCGTAACCATTTTGTGTTTGTTATAGTTTTCATGCTATAACTTTTAAATTAGTAAGCGATTGTTAACGAAATTTGGCAGATTATCAGTAATCATTACAATGCTTACATATGCAAAATATCAATTTTTTTTATTAAGTTTTAAAGTTTATAAAGCAATGTTTTTCTCATGTCTATTTTTTTCTTTTCGCATGTTGCCTATCTATCATG